CCTTTCCAGATATTGATTGAATAGGACATTTGTATTCCATCATTAAGAGAGATGTATATTAGAATAGCCAGGAAAATTTAGGAGAAGCAATAAAAACTGTTGCAAGTAATTTTAAAGCCGAAACAGTTGAAAAGTCAAAGAGATCAATTGAAAGAAAAACTGATGAAAATTGTAGAGTACCAGGGAGAGTGTATTTACGTGCCAAATAATAAAATAATAATTTATTCAGATACATGGGAAGTTGTGTTAATGAAATATATGATTTTGTGGCACAAATCATTCGGATATATTTGTAGAGTTATGTCGCATTTGGGCTGAACATTAAAAGACAACAGACAGAAAAGAAGTTATTACGAATATTTTTAAAAAGGATATACTAGGGGACAAATGAATGACAAAGTTTTCGTGTGACGCATTTCGTCCTCTGGGACTTCATCAGATTAAATTTGTTCCTTTGGCACGAGTAAACATGCGCACGAACAAGGCATGCTGGGAATTTAAAATTTAATTTGTGTGTATATTTTACGTTCGAGTCGATTTCATTTTGATTCTTTTTCTTCATGTATTTGTCTCCTCGGTTCGACCCTTCTTTCTATTCCATATTAATGATCTGCCTAAGAACATACTCCAGTCTTCGGTGATTATCTATACAACAGTTTATAGGTGCACCTTCAAAAATCTGCAAGACCGGGAATCTAACAAACGCAACACTACAAGATTATCGCTATTCTACAACTCACATTATTCACAGAATAACTAGTCAATAAATTAATCAAGAGGACATTTTGACCGAGATATAACAAACTCCTTTGAGAAAGTGTGTCCTTGGTGGCCGCTATATAATTTCTGGAAGGGCTCTCTCAATTATCAAGCCCGTCTTGAAAGTCGTTGTTAACAGCCAGCTATTGGATGCCTCTAGAGACAATGCCGGCATTCCTCAGGGTTCTCTCCTTGATACTACCCTCTTTTTAACGATCTAAGAGCATACTCTGATCTTTAGTATTTATGTGGATGATGCAACAGTTTTCAGGTGAAGAGCCAAAAATTTGGAAACCAAGAACCTAGCAGGGGGGAGGACTGGCTTGTAAAATCAAATATGGCCAAAACCAAACTAATAAAGTACCACCACCAAAATCAAACTAGTAACCATTTACCAACATCGAGCAGACAACAACCTATCATGATGGTTGAGCCTTCTCGTAAGGAGGCTCTTGGACGTCTGTTGAAACACAAGCTCACGCTAGAAATTCATATCCGATCTATATCTGAAGATGCTGGAAAAAAGGGTCTTGTCACTGGACAATAAATTCATCACATGGACTATTGGCCTAGATATATCAAAGACTTTTGATAAGGTGCGGCAATGAAAACACACAATCTAGCAGCATTACTCTTCCAGTTATGTTATCCTAAGGTTGCTATCTTAACTTGCACCTAGTCTGCCAGACCGTGTCTTCTAAACAGAATCTGCCTCTTCAAACTTTTGTATCCACTTGTTATTAAACACCTCAAGAGTAACAACGCTCTTAGCGATAACCAGTATGGATTTCCCTCAGCTCGATCCACGATCATTATTCACATAATCTGTGAGGCACTAGATAATAAATTAATATTACGATTCATTACCCTAGATATATCAAAAACCTTTGACAAAGTGCGGCATTGGGAGTTGCTATATAAACTCTCCAGCTATGGAATCAATGGATTAGCTCTCTCAATTATCAAGTCATTCCTAACAGGTAGATCCCCGAAGGTCTTTGTTAGCAGCCAGCCATCGTAATCCCATAAGATAAGTGCCAGCGTTCCTCGAGGTTTCTCTTCTCAGTTCTTTCCTTTTTCTACACCATATTAATAAGACTGGTCAAAAAAATTAAAATTTAGAAACCAAGAACTTACATGATGAAGGACTGGATTGTAAAATCCAATATGGCCAAAACCAAACTAGTAAACTACCACTGTCACCAAAACCAAACTAGTCACCTTTCACCGCCACCGAGCAGACAACGACTTATGATGGTTGAGCCTTCTCGTAAGGATGATCTTGGACGTCTGGTGGAACACAGGCTCACTTCAAGTGGTACTTATATACCCGATCTATAGCTAAAGATGCTGGGGGAAAAAAGGTCGGTTCATTTTACCGATCTGATAAGTATCTGACTACCTATACTATACTTTCTTTACAAGAGCCTGATGAAAGTGAAAATAGAGTATCACTGCCATAATCTTTGCTGGAGCTACCCAGCCCTTTCTTGCTTGTCTTTATCCAGTTCAAAAACGTCTAGATTGATTTGCGAATGGTTATTTTCTACCTTACAACCTCTTACTCACAGACGAAACGTCGTGAATCATTCCCTGCTCTGTTGCTATTTCCATGGGAAGTGTTCTGGTCAGCTACATTCCTTAGTCTCACCAGCCCTGACCACGTACACAAGTGTGATTGAACCTTATTTCTTTCGTATTCCATTAATAACGAATAAACTCTACTAGGTCAGCTTCTTCCCAAGAACTTCGGCTTTGTGGAACAGATCCCCCGACAAGATATTTGATCAATCCCTACAATTTTGTCCTCTTTAAGTCTACGGTTAACCGTTATCTTTCAGGTTTAACCACATGCCCTTCACGCCCTTTCTTACGCTATCACAACACCACGCATTAAGCCTCTACATTGCGTGGCTCTTGTGCCTTAGATTTAGTGACCATTGCTATAAAATAAATTTCCATCAAGCGTTTTGATGGGTGCTACCCTGCACCAGTTCAGACATTTAAGGCTAGGGTACTCAATGAATCAGCGTGGTACCCGGGCAATAAATTCTTCACGAGGGCCTAGATATATCAAAGGCTTTTGACAAGGTTATCGAGGTGTGCGGCATAAAATCTACAGCTATCGATTTCATCGGACTCTCTTAATTATCAAATTACACACGAATACGAATCTCCACGTTGTTCCATTTTGCATTGCACATGTTTCACCCGGACGCCTTTTTCTTTCCCGAGAACTCCTACGCGAATGCTTTACTTAAAACGACATTTTCAAATTCATCAAGGAGAGAGTTAGTTCCTATCTATCCTAATTATTCATATAACCTTCTTTCTACCCGGGATTCCGGCCAAATCACGATGAAAACCCGTTCCTGTAAAGTTGATCCTATTCCCTACCTAGATGTGTGACGACTTGGGAATACCAGGTGCTCTAAGCTTGGATGCGTGGATGCTAGAAACGGCTTCCGACCAAATCACTGGTTTCTGTTCGATGACCAAGGTTAAGCAACCAAGATACTGGTCATTTTCTAGATCGGTGACCGCTTGGAAATAACAGGTGCTGTGAGCTTAGATGCGTGACTCATAATAGGCTTCTGCCCAAATTCTGTTGAAACACCGGTTTCTGTTCGATGACCAAAGTTAAGCAACCAAGGTACTGGTCATTTCCTAGATGGGTGATCGCTTGGAAATACCAGGTGCTGTAAGCTTGGATGCGTGACTTATAAAGGGCATCCGACCAAAATCCCATTGAAACACCGATTTCTGTTCCATTATCAAAGTTAAGCAACGCCCGTACTGGTCAGTCCTTAGATGGGTGACCGCTTGGAAATACCAGGTGCTGTAAGCTTAGATGCGTGACTTGTAAAGAACTTCAGGCCAAATCCCGTTGAAACACCGATTTCTGTTCGATGGCCAAAGTTAAGCAACCAAGGTACTGGTCATTTTCTAGATGGGTGATCGCTTGGAAATACCAAGTGCTGTAAGCTTCGATGCGTGACTTATAAAGGGCATCCGACCAAATCACGTTGAAACACTGGTTCCTGCATGATTCCTTATATTCATTTTCGCACAAATAGCCTTTCGACAGGCATGAATCCATCTTTCTCCTCCCAGCTATGGGTTAATTAGTAAGATTTGTATCACTGAAACATTATTAACACCAAAAAAATGAAATAAATTTAAAATTAAAATTACTTACAAATATTTAGGTCTTGGAGAGTGAAATAGCGCTAAACCTTTTTTTGTTGGGGGGGTTCTACTTTCTCTTTCGTTTCATATTACACACTTCATTGAATGAGAATCTTAACTTCTTCAAGTCTGGGGTCAACTCCTCAAAATCTACAATTTTTACCTCCGCCCCCTTACGGCTTTACAACAGCACCATTTCGTAACCCTCTACCTCGAGTGGCTCTCTGGCCTTAGGTAAACAATAACTAAAATAAATCTGCTGAGTGGCTGATTTCACGATATGCCGATCATTGTTGGGTTGTTTAATTTCAGTTCAGTGTATGGCGCACCCGGCGAATTTAAGAACTCAATTTATATAACAAATGAATGAATGAATAAATGAATCGATAGGGGGGGGGCGAGAAATCTAATAGAGGAAAAATAATACCTATTTATTTTCAATTTTTCCTGCTAGGGACTGTAAGATATCCAATGCGGGTTGGCCCTAGTATTATTAATAATTAGGATAAGCCAAGCTTAATTGGAACAAATAATAATAATAATAATAATAATAATAATAATAATAATAATAATAATAATAATAATAGTTCATAAATAAGAAGAAAAGAATAAATAAATAAAAAAACGTAGATATTTACTTAATGAGGAAATCCATGCAAATTGTTTTTTTCTTCCTTTCTTTTTTTTTTTTTTTATTGTTTTTTGGTACTTCACATTGGGGCGTAATTCTTTTGCCAGAAAAGGACTAATCAAATCTAATAGAAGACTCTAAAATCATCAGGTTCGGATTCGACGCCATATTGTGCCCGGTGGCCATATTGGAAATCTTTTTTTTTTTCCTTTATCTATTTATTTTTATTTTATTTTTGCCGTCATTTATAGAGAAAAATTAAGGAAGGAAACGAGAGGGAAGGAGAATGATAGTGATGAAGAAAGTACAGATATAAATGGAGGAATTATAAAGAAGGAAGAGAATCAACAAGAAAGAAGAGAAGAAGAAGGCTTTAAAAAAAAAAAAGAAAGAAAATGCATGAATGCAACAGATGAAAAAATCAATTGGGAAAAGAAAGAAGACGAGAAATCAGCTTGCTTGTAAAATGAAAGAAATACAAATGGTAAGGGAAAGAAAGAAAGAAAGAATGGATCAAAAGAAAATAAATCAGGCGATTAGAATTTGAAAAGAAATGAAGAATTAAAAGCCGAAAGAAAATCAAAAGTAAAAAAGGAATAAGTTGAAGAGATAGAAAGAACGAACCACTGAAAGAATTTACGAAGAAAATGAAAATAAAAACGAATAAAAGTTTAAATGGACTGTAGAATAAAGAAAACGAAGAAAAGTAAAATAAATAGGAAGGAGATAAGCGTGAATGAAACTCAGAATTTACGAAGAAAATAACAAAATTCGATAATCATAAATCTTTTCGAACTAAAACTAATATAATTAATGAAAAGAAAATGGCGAAGAAAAAATCGACTTTCTGAAAAAGAAAACAAGTTATAAAATATAGATAACGTAAGATATAAAAAAAAGAGGAAATAATTCGATAGGAAGAAAAATAAGATGAGCTATGAAGAAAAGAAGGAAAGATGGAATGAAAGAAAAGGAGAGAACGAAAGAAAAAGAGGAGACTAGACAAAAAGAGGGAACGAGAGAAAATGAGGGGACGATAGAAAAAAAAAAGAAGGAAAGAAACAGAAGTAATGAAAGAAAATGAGTGAACGAGAGAGAGAGAAAAGGAATGAAAGAAAAAGAGGAGATGAAGAAAGAAGAGAGAATGAGAGAAAAAGAGAGAAAGAGAGGGAAGGAGAGAAAAACAGGGAACGGGAGAAAGAGAGGGAAAGAGAGAAGAGAGCGAACGGGAGAAAGAGAGGGAAGGAGAGAAAGAAAGGGAAGGAGAACAAAAGAGGGAACGGGAGAAAGATATGGAAGGAGAGAAAAAGAGGGAAGGAGAGAAAGAGAGAGAAGGGGAGAAAAAGAGGGAACGGGAGAAAGAGAGAGAAGGAGAGAAAAAGAGGGAAGAGGAGCAAGAGAGGGAACGAGAGAAAAAGAGGGAACGAGAGAAAGAGAGGAAATGAGAGAAAAAGAGGGAACGAGAGAAAGAGAGGAAATGAGAGAAAAAGAGGGAACGAGAGAAAGAGAGAGAAGGGGAGAAAAAGAGGGAACGGGAGAAAGAGAGGGAAGGAGAGAAAAATAGGGAACGGGATAAAGAGACGGAAGGTGGGAAAGAGAGGGAAGGAGAGAAAAGAGGGAACAGGAGAAAGAGAAGGAAGGGGAGAAAGAGAGGGAAGGAGAGAAAAAGAGGGAAGGGGAGAAAGAGAGGGAAGGAAAGAAAAAGAGGGAAGAGGGAAGGGGAGAAAGAGAGGGAATGAGAGAAAAAGAGGAAAGGAGAGAAAAAGAGGCAACGGGAGAAATAGAGGGGGCGAGAATAAAGAGGGCACGAAAGAAAAAAAAGCAACAAGAGAAAATGAGTGGACGAAAGAAAACGAAGAAAAGAAAAAGAAGGAATGAAAGAAAATGAGTGAACGAGAGAGAGAAAAAGGAAGAAAAAGAGGCGATAAAAGAAGAAAAAGAGGGAAGGTGAGAAAGAAAAAGAGAGAAAGAGATAAGAAGAGGGAACGAAAGAAAAAGAGGGGACAAGAGAAAAAGAAGAGACGAAAGGAAAAGAGGTAATGAAAGAAAGAGAGTCGACAAAAGAAGGATGAAGAGGAAAAGAAGAAATGAAAGAAAAAGCGGAAAGGAGAGAAAGAAGAGAGAAGAAAATTACGAGAAAGAAAAAATGTGATAGAAAGAGATAAATGAAATGAAAAATAAAAAGAAAGGAAAAAAAAGAATGAGATGTGAAAAAAGAATTCCAAAGGACGAATAAAACGAGAAATAAAAAAATTGTGTAGAAGATGGCAAGAGACAACAATGAAGAAGTTGTTTGTAAATAAATAGTAACATGGAAAAGAAAGGCGATAAAATACTGAAGAATAAACACAACTTAGTAACGAATAAATAAAGAAATGAATGAAAATAAAATGAAAAAAAAGAAATTATTTGAAGGATAAAATAAAGTGAACATTATCAGATGGAAGGAGGAGGTAAGCATACAAACAAGAAGAAGAAAGAGGAGGAAAAGAAGAAGAAGAAGAAAGAGGCGGAGGAGAGGAAGAAGGAGAAGAAGAACAAGAACAAGAACAAGAAGGAGAAGGAGGGTAAGAAGAAGAAAAAGAACAGCAAGAAGAAGACAGCGAATAGGCGGATGAGAAGACGGAAGAGACGAAGAAGAATTAGAAGGAGGAGTAGGAGCAGAAGAAGAAGAAAAAAAGAAAGAGGATGATGATGATGAAGAAGAAGAAAAAGAGGAAGCAGAAGATGAAGAAGAAGAAAGAGGAGGATGAAGAAGAAGAAAGAGGAGGAAGAAAAATAAAGAAGAAGAAGAAGAAAGAAGAAAAAAGAGGAGGAAGAAGAATAAAGAGGAAGAAGAAGAAAGAAGAAGAAGCAGAAGATGAAGAAGTAAGAGGAGGATGAAGAAGAAATAAGAAGAAAGAGGAGGAAGAAGAATAAAGCGGAAGAAGAAGAAGAAGAAGAAGAAGAAGAAGAAGAAGAAGAAGAAGAAGAAGAAAGGGAAGGACGAGGAAAAGAAAATTATATACTTCACTGAATAAATAAATTCGGGACAAAACGAAAAAAAAAAAAAAAAAATGAACCCATTGAAAAACGGAATAATGAGCAAAGTTTGAATGAAAAACAGAAACGAAGGAGAAACGAAGACAAGAAGAGAAAGAATACGAGAGAAGAAAGAAAAAAAAGAGGGAAAATAAAGAAGTATCGTCCGCCATTGCACATTCGTGATGAGGCTATTTATTGGTTTATTAATCGTATTCTGCCAATACGAACTAAGATTTAAAATTAGCTGCAGACATCGACAAGGACGTTAACACTTGTCACGCGCGTGCGCGTACACACACACACACACACACACACACACACACACACACACACACACACATATATATATATATATATATATAAAATTTACTCACCGCACATATATATATATATATATATACACCGTAATGTGAGTAAATTGGCCCCACTTTATATATATATATATATATAAATAAATTGCCTCCATTTATATATCTAAATAAACTGCCCCCATTATATATATATATATATATATACCGTTTAAATGTGTCAATATCTGCTAACTCACTCATGTCCTCTCTCCCCCTCACTTCCTCACTTCGTTAATTTACATATGTTTTTATAAACTAACTATATATATATATATATATATATATATATATATATACCGAGCTGTGATTAAATTGTCCCCCATTTTATATCTTAACTTTTGGCATACGCGTTGTTTGAATTTGATTTTGTCGACTGCAAAGTGTTGCAGGGTCAGTTGGGCACCGTCTGTGATAAAAAGGGCACCATAACGGAATTCACTCCGCCAGAAATTTTGAATGGGACTGCTGTAGTGTACTGCTTGGCATTCGCACCGGAAGCTTCAAGAGGATTCATAACATTCCCAGGGATATTAGCATGTAAGTGAAAGCAATGGATTCGACTGGAATTCGAACTCGACTCTCCGATCCGTACAGCCCACACACCAGTATGATTTTATTTTAGTGATGAAGGCTTTGTTCAGAACCATCCACACTTTTTGAAGGGTTCATTGCAGAACCTGACGTACTACGTGCTGCAAGGTCCCGAAACGACAGTCTGCAGGTTTTGAATTCAGAGCTGTCCTTCTTCTAGCGTTTTGGTGTCAACCTGAGGACAGTGCAAAGGATTCGGAAAGAGCTGGATGGGATATCTCGTCAACATGATGCTGTGGCACCATGCATAATTGGAAAACTGAAAAGAGATATTCATAAATATATGATTTATTTTTTTCGGTTTGTTAACCATTTGATAGTTATTTAGAGATGAGAAATATTTGGGTTTTGAGAATAATTCTCTAATTGCATTTAGGCGATCCGAGAGAAAGAAAGGAGGGGGGAGGAAGGAAAAAGAAAGAGAAATAGATGGTACAAAACTCGGTCATAAGCACACACGCTTAGCTGACACATAACAGGTGTCAAAAGATATCTAGGTCAAAGTACCTGACCGAAATCCACGAAAAATGGAAGTTGTTATAATTGGTTGAAGAAATAGAGTTTAGAGATAATGGAAAAAAGAAAAAGAAAGAAAAAAAATATAAATACGAAACCAGGTCGTAAGCGAAAACACACACGCTCGACTGGCACATATCAGATATCAAAATATCAGGTCAATCACTTGATCTAATTCCGTGTCCACGGAAGAGGAAGTTTGTTAAATTTGGCTGAAGAAATAAAATTTTTAGGGACAATGAAAAAATATTGATAAGTAACAAACGAAAAAGGTGTCATTGAGATGATAGGTAACAGATGGGAACTGTATCTAAGGATATGGAAACAAAACATTAATACACGAAAGCCAGGCGGTTTTTGGAGTTAAGGGGGCCGCCCAGGTTGATGTCGCTTTTGAGATAATTAAGATTTTGTTACCAAGCTCCGAGCGAAAGAAAAAGGTGGAATATTTGTATTAGCTCGCGACGCCGCCACGCAGTCTGGGAAAATTCCTTTCTTAGATCGCATCCAATTAGCGGTAGGCTGTTGACAGATGCCACGTGTGGAAGGGACCGATAGCGTCATTCGATCACATACGAAAAGGGCAAATTTAAATTTTGTTTTTTTTAAGCAAGGTGTTTCTTCCCCCAGAACAAGGCCACGGATTGTACACGCCCAATTAGAGACGTCACGAAGGAAGGAGAGAAGATACCGACCAGAGTCTCATTGGCCGAGGACAGTCACATGATACATGAGGGAGGAGGAGAGACACCCGACCAGAGTCTCATTAGCCGAGAGCGGTCACCTGACATACGAGGGACCAGGGGAAGCGGGTATACGCCTTCCCCCCAGAGGCACAGTAAGTAGGAGGAAAGTAAGAGCGATAATGGAAAATCCCTAATCAGAAATAATACGTCTTTAGAATTATCAAGAAAACCCTGGCGCCGACAGACCCACCCCCAGTTTTGACTGCCTCAATAAAAAGCAGGACCCCAATCGACAGAAATCAGTTGGAGCTGGGCCGCGGACAGCGAGGGAGCTTGAGCTCGGGCGGCGGGCCCGTTCATTCGCCTCCTTGCGGGCAAGAAAGCCGAAGGAAGAAATTCGTCCAACCCAAGACGAAGTGAAGAAATTCGCCCGAAAGCCGAAGAGAAATCAGTTGGGGTTGCGCCTCGGACGAAGAAGAAGTTAAGTTGCAGTTGCGCCTCGGAGAAGTTGGAATCAAACCAAGCCTAAGAAGAGAAATTCGTCCAACCCAAGTCGAAGTGAAGAAATTCGCCCAACTCAAGCCGAAGTGAATAAGCTCGTCCAACCAAGGCCGAAGAGAAGAAGTCGATTCGCGCACTGACGGCGAGAAAAATCAGCCGTGAACGACAGGTAGAGATCAGCGCCCAGTGTCGAAACCAATCCACACCCCGAAATGCAAATTTCTAGAGAGCAGGCAACTCGAAGCCTTAAAGTTGTATGGTAGAAGCTTGGTGCCACAGCCCACAAAACGGGTCGGGAGGTAGGAATAATCTTGTGTAACGAACATTTAGATATAAAACGTTGTTACCTTTTTCTTCAATAATTTTGGACCTTGTGAGTTATTCTTTTTCTTGTGTGTTATCACCCCCGTTGAACTCAGCTTGCATACGGCCCCAATCCCTGTTTGATCCCGTCTGTCTAAGATCTAATCACAACGTGGGTAGGCAGACCGGAGATCAGTGCAGTTACCCTAGTAACCAGGCGTTGGAAGCGAGTTGGGAACGGCGAGGCTGGTATTCATCTAACCAAAGAACGTCACACTTGGAGCAGCGAGGAGCGAACAGCTGACGCCGCGGCAAAGACGTCACATCTGGTGTCGTGACCATAGGACCAGAACCCTGGACCACGTCACGTCACAGTTGGCGCCGCGAACGAGATCGAACGACAGAGTCGACGCTGCGACCAGTGGGGGCGACGTCACATGCTGTTTGAAGTGATTACCAGTAATGGCGATGTTATGCCTCCATTCATCTTCCCACGGGGCCTCAGACTAAAGACGGAGGCCTATACATTAAGTGCCTTGAAGAGGTAGTGCTGCCCTGAGTCAAGAGCGTGGTTGCTGGAAGACCCTTTGTCTGGCAACAGGACTCTGCACCATGTCACACAATCAGGAGAACCCAGTCATGGCTATCAGGCAATTTCTGCGACCACATCAACCCTTACACCTGGTCACCTAACACCCGCTAGACTGCAACCCCCGATGTGCATTCTAAAGAAAAATACAAGAAAGATAATGCAAGCTTTCGACTTTCTGAAGTCATCATCCTATAAGGTTGAGACAATGGTGAGCTTCGTATAATAAATCAACACAAAAAGTTGGTTTTAATAATATTCCACCCCAAGGAAGGTATTAAAGCCATTGAGACACAAGGGGTTACTATGTGCAGGGCAATTAGAAAACAGAAACACGATTAAGGGCAAGAACATAAGAAGAAGATTCAGGAGGACAGTAGATAGCGATTGACATCGCATTTAAATTTTTGAGGATTAAATTATTCTAGAAAGAACTGAGCCGAAAAGAAGTTCCACAAGCAAGACGTGCGAGAAAAGAAATTTTAACATAGAATTTGCGGTTACATCGAGCGAGCCCAAACTGACGAGATCTCGAGATCTCTAGTACTGTGCTTAAATTCAAAAATGTCTAGGTAACATAGCTCATCTGACCAATTACTATGAAAGTATTTATAGAAAAGACATAGATGCATATATATTCGACGTATAAGGGTCAAGCTGATCAGTTCCTAGGAAGTGACAGCCCAGACACCTGCACATATGATTTGATTATAGTGGGGAAGGCTTTCTGCAGAACCAACAACACTTTTTGAGGAGTCAAATACAGAGATCTGGTGCACTATGTGCTACAAAGGTCCCCAAACCAACCTCCGCAGGATTTGAATTCAGAGTTGTTCTTCTCCTAGACCAGTTGCCATCCAAGGCTATAGAACCAAGTCTGTCCTGCTATTTATCTATATCTGGAGGGATAAGAGGATTCATGGCATTCCCAGGGGTATTAGCATGTAAGTGAAAGCAATGGATTCGACTGGAATTCGAACTCGACTCTCCGATCCCTCAATCCGAGCCGCTATCCACAACAGCCCACACACCAGCACGTATGATTTTATTATAGTGGTGAAGGCTTTGTGCAGGACCATTCACACTTTTTGAAGGGCCGAATACAGAGATTTGGTGCACTACGTGCCACAAGGTCCCCAAACGACACTCTGCAGGTTTTGAATTCAGAGTTGTCCTTCTCCTAGACCAGTTGCCATCCAAGGCTATAGAACCCGGTCTGTTCTGCTATTTACCCATATATATATATATATATATATATATATATATATATATATATATATATATATATATATAAACTGACTGCCGATGTTATGGTGAATTTGGAATCCCATATTCCCCAACGCCGGAAAAGAAATTAAATAATTACTTGGTTACAAGATGAAGCCAACGACATATTATAAAATCGAAATTCTTATTTATTGATATACATATAATTATTTATAGAAAAGGCACAGGGAGGCTACGTTAGGACGGTGGGAAATGACTGAAGCCGAGATGCCAGGTCAGGAACAATAATATTGCTGATTCTGCTTTGGATTTTATCAAGAATCTCTAGATATATAACAGGGGCACCGGACCATATGTGGCAGAAATATTCTTAGCATGGACGAATGGTAGACTTATAGATATACAAGATAGATTCTCAAGAGAAAATTGTCTCACACAACACAATGAACCAACTTTTTTTAGTAGCTGACCTAGTACTGTTTATTTATTGCAATACAATTACAATTTTGGCACAAGACCGAAGGGGAAATGGCGTGAGAAGCTTTCAATACATCGCAGAATCAGCAGATTAGACGTGGCAGCATTATTCTAAACATGGACGAATGGTAGACTTATAGATATGCAAGATAGATTTTCAAGAGAAAAATTGTCTAGCACAGCACAGTGAAGCATCTTTCTTCTTAGCAGCGGACTTAGGATTCGGTATAGTTTTTCACTACATGTCAGTCGAGAACATTTACCATAGAAGGCACAACGAGTAAATCAATTGGAGGTTAGCATCAGCCATGTTGATTGAAGGAAGAAAGCTGTCTCTTATATGATTAACGAGGAGCAGCTTAGTTCTGGAGGCGTTAAAATTAACAAGCTATCCCTTGTCCCAGTTAACAACAGATTGAATGTTGTTTTTAACATCAGCCGCTAACTTTTTTTTAAGTTAATTCTTTAGTCAAATGACAGTGTTTTTGCTGTTTGTTTGTACCTATATTTTGTGGTCTTGTATATATATATATATATATATATATATATTGGTTAATATACACTAAGCACCTGAAGATTGCGTTTGGCATGAAGCTCCAAGGCGTGCGAATAATGTAGGATGGTATGTATATTTATTAACATATGTGTGTGTGTGCGTGAAATGTGTATATATATATATATATATATATATATATATATATATTTAAAAGATATTTTTGTAGGTACAAAATTTAATGATCGAAATAAAAGTATAAAATTTAATATTACAAGACATATTAAAACAGTATTAAATAATAAAAAAAAACTCAACAAAACAACAGGGGGAGCAACCGGTTTCGCTCCCGCTCATCAGGCTTCCACGGGAGATTGAAAATTAAAACAGAGAAATGTACAATAAGAATAGGTGGAAAAAAAAAATTACACACACATATATATATATATATATATATATATATATATATATATATATATATATATATATATATATATATATATATATATATATATATAAAAAAAAAAAAAAGTGTGTTCGTATATATGCAAGAAGGAACTAGAGGCAGATGACAGTCCCAGCAAACACTCACGTTGTTTGCACAAAGAAGACTTTGCGGGACCCGATGTAAAGTGCCTCCAGAACCTTCAGATGAAATACAGAGTGTGACCAGGGCCAACACGGTGAACCAGTCGACACTAAATTTGGCGGCACAGTCTCTGCTATTTAAAAAGATGTTCGCATATGGCGGAACTGTAGGTGTTCAGGACGAGTCCACTCGAAGGCAAGGTGTGGTTTCTAATTTTAGTAGGAACGTGTTGCTTTATTCTAGTGTCTAAGCGCTGAGTTGTTCTCCCTATGTTGTTGGCTCCGCAACTACAAACGTATTTGTAAACAATTGAATTAATATGGTGGGGAGGAGAACGTCTTTACACGCAGATCGAAACATAGGCCGAGTTTGAAAAATAATCCGAACTTCAGCAGAGAAAAAAGCAGCAGCGGACCTTTGATGAAATTTGTTTGGCCATTTTTTCACACTTTGTACCAATCAGGTAATCTATATATATATATATATATATATATATATATATATATATATATATATATATATATATATATAATAAATGCGCAGTACTTATTAGAAAGCGCTCAATATCAGTGATAGAGCTAACATATTTAGTTGGATTGATGTGAGTTTGTGACCCTCAGAGTTTGTCACAGACTCACATTAATCCAACTATATATATATATATATATATATATATATATATATATATATATATATATATATATATATATATATATATATATATATATATATATATATATATATATATATATATATGAAAAATATATAGAAAATATGAAGGAACTGGTTAGGTAAATAATCCAAAGTCCCTTAGTATTTTAGTTATTTTTTTTCAGAAACATGAGACCTCTTATGTAGCGATTTGGAATCATATTTTTAAATAAATAATTATATTATACATATATATATATATATATATATATGAATAAAAAGACAAGAGAAAAACTATTCTGAACCGACGCTTTTCACACGCTGAGGGACATTATCAAAGCAAATGTAAGATTTATTTTGTTGCACGTGTTTATAGAGAGAAGCAAGGATGTCATTGCTTTATGAAGGCTTTGAAATTTGACAACATTCATGAATATATATCAAGTTGAATGGCTGAAACTGTTAAAAAATTTGCCTTGATAACGTCTCTCTGAGGATGAAAGTACTTTCGACATATCCAGGTCATCATCAGGGTATTGTTTATAATAAAATAAATCTTATAGTATCCATTATTGTGAGAGAAAGTACTTGGTAATAAACCCAATATGCATAAAGACGTCGATTTTCTCCCATAAATGAAGAGAGTATGAATGGATCTTTGCGAAAATGAATAGACAGAATATGTCTAAATTGTGCAACGAAAACATGCTGACGATATATATATATATATATATATATATATATATATATATATATATATATATATATATTCGTACATTGAAGAATTGTATTTTATAAATGTAAAAGCCTTAATTAAAACAAATTTTGATACATTTTATGTGTAAAGTCACATTTATTAAAAAAATAATAAACTTAATTAATTCTTATTCTAACAGAAATTAATGCATTTTTTTTCATTTTAACTGATGAAAAAAGTATTCGTACTAAACAAAAAAAAAGTATATTAACTTAATTTAATACTTTGTGGAATATCCTTTATTGAGTTCAGCAGCTACCAGTCTATTCCTGTACATCTCAACTAATGATTTGCACACATTGAGTGGTATTTTGTCCCATTCTTCTTATATATATATATATATATATATATATATATATATATATATATATATATATATAAACATTTTATGTTTATATATTCTTTTTATTGATACAATTATTTAAGTAAATGCTCTATTTTATAATAAACACTATTAATAACATTTACCGGCCTGAATGTCCGAGATATTTACCAGTTAGCAAGGTCGATTTTACTGTTTTTAAAATACAATTTTCCAGGATT